TTTTTTGTCATCGAGGACGATGCCAAAGTTTAAGTGTGGGGGAGTGAATTGGGCATTCGGGCAGTGGTTGTTACATGAGATTTATTAGAGTTAGCATGCGCAAGTGTTAGTTGTATATTCATAGAAAATTCATATTCTTTAAACTGTGCCTTTGTGAGCTGGCTAGCGTTTTGACTATGCTTTTAGGACATCCTTGAAGTGTTTAGGCTTAATTTGCTTGCACTATAATCTAGTTGTTGAAAGGATGAAGGCATTAGTCACCCATTGAACTAATCCATTAATCATCCACCCCACCTGAATAAGACCCTTTAGGAGAAGCCATTTTGAGCCTGCCCGTTTATTGTTACCCGATTAATTGAGCTCCATAGCCAAATGGCCTGTTTCCTTACCCGTGAATATTTCTGACTTAGTCTTGGTGTTTAGGGAACTAGGGGATTAATTTGCTAAGTTTAGGGAATTTATGTAGGAGCCATTTTTGGCACTGTTCCTATGCCCCAAATAGGGTAAGAGCAGTCACTTTTTAGGGATTTGATACTTTCGAGGATTGCATTGTAGGCATGGATTCACTTTGAAATAAATGAACTTTAAATTGCTATTTTTCCTTGGTGAGGCCGAGATTAGAATGAGGTAATGTCTAGTGAGAATCCGAAAGGTGAAAAATTAATATAGCTAGACCTCTTGCCTTGCGAAAAAGAGAATGGGAGCCCCGGTCAAAAAGCGTAAGATGAGACTTGGGTATCTTTCGAAAGAAACAGCGTTCTCGTGCCAACATGACAAGGAAAACTGAACCTAATTAAATGAACTTGGAGGCTATTGCAAAAATTTGCTCTAGTCCTCCGCGTACTTCAAGTATACGTCAAAGCACAAATGTGCCGAGACGGTTTAGCTTAGTTGTACACCATGTCTACTCTTTGCATAGGTTTAAATGATTGTTCCTAATTTGTGGCCTACCGAGTTCCTTGTTCCTAAAGAATTGCCCTGAAGTTCCTGAATGCATTGAGTCTTTGTTAGAATATTCCTATCTCTCAAAATAAAGGGACTATTATTATTATCCATTCACCATTACCTTCACAAGTCCTTCTGATCAGTAGCTAGTTTATTTGTGTAGGCTGTCATTACTTTGAGGATGTTGTGAATAATTTTGTCAAATATAGTACAAAGATGTAGTTTAGGGAAGAATTTTCTTGATTTAGACTCTCTAGTCTGTGAATATCTCTTTAACTACGTGTGCATGCTAATTGTTTTGATTCCGTGTGGTGATTATCGTAAGTCTCGTTGTTCAGTTTGCTTGAGGACAAGCAAAAGCTTAAGTGTGGGGGAATTTGATAAGTCCGTATTTTGACACGCATTTGATGCGTGTTGAGATCGGCTTTTGATGATTTTCCTAGTTTTAAGGTGTTACAAGTCTCAATTTTAGCTCAAGTTATGTTTACCAGGCGTTGGTTCGAGTTTTGTGTCATTTGGAGTCAAAATCAGGAATTTAGAGTTCGGCACTGGCGCTTGAGGAGAAATCGGGATGATTTGAGATGCATTCGAGAGTGAATTGAGAGCTTTGGAGGTCACCAGGAGGTTCACGATGAAGATTTGATGACAAAAGAGCTCTAGGATTGGCTATGGGATCAAAAGAAGATGAATGAAGCTGGAAAACGATGATCAGGATGACCTTTGGTCAATCGTTCAAGCATATCTCTTTGTATAAGCATTCAAAGGACACGATTCAAGTTGCATATGAAAGCCAACTTCAAGGGCTACAAATCATATGAAGACATCGTTCCGAGAACCTGAGAGGATCAAGGTTAAAACAGATGATGAAGTCAGATGATCTCTGCTGCGATTTCAGAATGACACCTTCCACTATTTTGGTCATATCTCTTGATTGGATGATTCAAATCACATTCGGCAAGTTGGTGTGGATAGAGGACTTCATTATCTACAACTTTCATGAAGGAAGTTTTGTCAAATTCGGACTAGAAAAAAGGCTGAAGAGCACGGACGCACGACCGTGCGTAAAAGGACGCACGATCGTGCGTAAGAGCCAACAACGCGGCAACTATTCTGCCTGCTACGCACGATCGTGCGTGGAAAGGTACGCACGATCGTGCGTACACCCGAGACGCGGATTTCAGCCCTTTTTTAGTCCCAGTTCAGCCCAAACTCATCTGTTTTCTATAAATAAGACCCACATACCCATATTTTGACGTTACGAACATTACGGAGAGGCCTAGGGACAAATTTAACACCGTTTTTACGCTATTTTCTTCCAAGACCCTGGGATTATTTGTAAGTTCATCTTTTTAATTAATGACAATTATTTCTATTCATCCCAATTCTGTTGATTCTTCAATTATGAATTGTGAGTAGTTTAATTAGGGATTTGGGGTTGTTGAAGGGGTTAATCATGATTGATGGCTAGATTCTTGTCGGTTTAATTGCATGAATGCCATTTAATTTGTGTTTGAATAATTTAACTGATATCTTTTGTAACCTGGAACCGCGGCTAGAATTACAATTGCTTGTAGAATAAATTAAGAGAGATCTAGTTTATTCTAGGACACATTCACACACACTTAATCGTTCGCTAAGAGATTAGTAGCGATTAAGGGGCCGTAAGCTCGCTCGTCTTGGCAATAATTTAGGATCTTGTCGCATGAGAGATCAGCCTGGTCCCCTAAATTATTGTACTCTACGCCGCGAGAGCGGTAAGAACTTAGTAATGATTAGCTAGGCTCAATTAAATTAAATTCATGTAATTAGGCCTGATCTGCCAGAAATCTGGTTACCCCGGAATCAATCCTTGTTCCCTTCGTCGTTAATTAAGAAGAAACCACTTTTATTTTAATCGTTCATTCTCATTAGTTTAATTTTTATTCAACCAACCAATCTCGCACGACGCATTTATTTTATTTATTTCTTTCTAATCGCTGAATTTAATTAATTCTTGATTCCCTTTTGTCTGTCCTTGTGGAGACGATACTCGTACTTACACCATTATATTACGATCTATTTTAAGTGCGAAAAAACTCACATCAAGGGACATCCCAATATGGTAAAACGGGACATTTAAAAGGGGACGGATGGAGTATAATAATAAAATATTTACTTGGAAAAAATGAATAAATATTACGTGAGCCACTATTCTAGAAGAAATTAATTGTTGAGTGATATTATGTCATAGCTATCTATAAAAACATACAACTATTCCTAATGAACATGGAAGGTCTGCCATGAGCGCATGACTATTAATCCAGTATTACGTTTCAAACGAGCCACTATTATATGAGTATCATGACTCTTTCAAAAAAAAATGAGTATCATGGCAAAACCTTCAAGCGTATTTCGTATTACGTTTCATTACTTCATATTACGTTAATAGCTTAATTGGTTTTTCAAAGAAAAAATTGAACTGCTCTAATCTGGAGAAGCTTATGGAACTGATGAAGAAGAGAAGTCAGAAGTGTGCGCTGGGTTGGAAGATGCGTCGATTGAATTGCCAAGGGAGATAAACTGCCCTGCTAGTTTTTTTAAATAATGGATTTGGAAATCCATGGGGTGGTAGTGAGATTGTTGGTGGATTGGGTTATGCATTATTTTGGTCTAAGAATTTATCAAAGTCTTTCAAAGTCCATTAAAATCAACAAGAAGTAAAATCCATGGAATGATTGAGGATACCTGGATTTTAATAGATTCCATGGAAATCTAAATTGAGGACACCTGGATTTTAATGGAATTCTAAACTCCATTAAAATCCACATTGAGGACACCCCCGTTAGTCAATACAGTAAGAAAAGTAACTGCAACCTTACATTTTCTTATTATTACACAATTCAGCGCGCGAAATTAAATGTTATGTGTTTGGTAAAAAAGTTGGCCGATAAGTCAAAAAAATATGATCACCAACGGGCTCTTAAAAATGACAATTTTTTTGGGACGAAGTCACAAACATAGTATTTAATAGTGTTTGATATTTTACAATATCGAATTCTAATTATCTTGTATAATAGTAAATAAATTAAACATTAGAAAGTTGAATTTTTTTATGGAATAAATATCCTAAATATCAAATTAACGAGTTATTCTAGTGTTTATCCAAACAAAGATAAATTAATATAAATTGTCTCCCTTTGCAAATGTTGTCAATACTCTACACTGTATACGGCATCTGTAATAGCCGGAGCATCTTTGACGGTTGATTGTTTCGGTCAGTCAAAAGGTGGGTTTTGCCGTCTTTTCTAGCTTGGTAAAGATTTTTTGCCCAAAAATCAAGTTTTTACTACTTTTTGGGCATCGATCTCCCATAATGACAACTTTTTGCCCCTTTTCCCTATTTTATTAAATAAATAAAAAGTATGATTAATAGTTTAATGAGTGAGTACTTCATGAATATGCAGTAGCTTTTAAATATAATAATAGAGAGCAATAGAACTAATATTTATTTTTATGATTACTAACTCATGATCAATAATCGTAGTACTTCCTCCGTTCTTTAATTCTTGCAACGTTGTGATTTTTGCACTATTCACGGACCTTACTTTGACCACGATTTTCTACTAATATACATTATCAAATTATTACGTATAAAATGTTAATGAATTCCTATCAATGTGAATTTCCAAAATATCAACTTTTTATATTGTTTACTAATACATAATTAAATATAATTACGGTCAAAGTTGTGTGTTGGCAAACGTGAAAGTCAAACTGTTGCAAGAATTAAAGAACGGAGGTAGTATTAACGAAGAGAAAAGAAAGAAAGTACCCCAAAACTAAGTACTTGAGATGGTTTGGGGGTTGTTTGGTAAACAGCTTATAAGCTGTTTTTTAGCTTGTTTGACTCAAAAAATCTGTTTGACTGGATTAAAATGTCAAAAATCTTGTTTGGTAATCAGCTTATTCATTCGGCTTATCCAGACAAAGAATCCGATTTTTGAAAAGCTGGCCTGGGCAGCGTTTTAGGTCATATTTCGGCTTATCCAATTTATTTTCCCCTTCATACCCTCGTACTGATACCGACTTTAGAACATCGGCATCTCCATTTTTTCCTCAGCCATCGTTCTTCTTCCCTGCCAACTACAATCAAAGGTACTTTACTTCTTTCTTGATTTTTCCTCTTCTAATTTTATCCCATTACTTTGTATTTTCCATTTTTCTTTCTTCTCCGGCAATGTTATTAATTCTACGACGACTGATCTACGGCCGTTCACCTCGTCGACCTTCCCCCTCTCTGTTTTTTTTTTCTTTACTTTTGTGGCAGGTTGTATATGTGTGAGGTCTACTCATATATATTCAAACTTTATTTGAACAAAATAAGTCTTTTTTAGATTGTGTATTGTGAATTGATTATGATTTTTAAGCTTGATATGTTGGTGATTTCTGTTGGGTATTGATGTTTGAGTGAGCTAACTTTGCAAATGTATATTGTTGTGAATATTGGGCAGCTTGGTGCTTATGGATTTCATTATATGTTTCTGATTTCCTACTTGTCCAAAAGGTGTTTGTTAAAATGCTTGTGAGAATTAGTTTGTTGTTTGGTTGCATGTGTTGCACTTTTATACTCACAGGGCTGCTTGTGAGTTTTTTCTTTCAAGTATTAAGAGTATTTATTTTACATTGCAATTGTATTTTCAAGATTTGATAAATGTTTATCATTTGATGAATGTTCACAATGGAAAGCTGAAATTTAATTTTAAATATGGGATCCAACTACTATACGTTAATGCCATTTTATTAGCATTTACCTTCTAATAAGAGACATCATCTCAAAACGTTATCCTTTGATTTCCCTTTCCTAATGTAACAGTCTTCACTTATCTGTGTCTTTATCTTCTCCACTTTTAAATATGTTTATCTAGGTTTCCTAGGTGTTCAGGAGGATTAATTCTACTTAGAACTACAGAGTGGATTATGTAAACTCAGAGACCCTTATCAGATATGAAGAAAACTCATAACCGATACACCAGCAACTAGTCCAACTAGTCTTTCTACTCAGTACAACCCATTTTCTTTTAAATTGGTTATTATATGAGATTATGAACATTAAGGATGTTTTTACTTGGACTGTAATTTGCTGCTCTGGTCTAGTCTGGTCTGGTCTGGTCTGGTCTGAACTGGTCTGGTCTGGTCTGGTAAGGTCTGGTTTCTTTGTATTTTTATAACTATCCAAGTCTGGTCTGGTCTGATCTGGTCTGAACTGGTCTGGTCTGGTCTGGACTGGTCTGGTCTGGTCTGGTCTGGTCTGGGACAAATTACAGTCCAAGTAAAAACATCCTAAATGAAGTAGACACATTAGTTAAACCATCGAACTAAAAAGCAAAAAAAATATGGTCAGCCAAAACAAAGCCAAATCCAAAACTCTCTATTGCATTTGTAGAAACCAATAGAGACAAAGATGAAGCATATGGAATCATGTAAATTCAAAGCATAATGTTCCATTTAATTTCAAATAAAGAGTTACATTCATAACCAACGTATGAAGTATCCATTGCATTAAGTGGAAATGGATTTCCTTAAATTTCATCATCATTATGACACCAAGAACAAATAAATTTCCTAAAAAATTAACTTGGGACGAAAAATAAAATAAAAAAAACTCTAGGTTTCCTAGAGTTTACATATCTGAGTTTACATATCTTCGCTTATCTGATTCTAAGTTATGGGATAAACTTAGAACATATGCAGTAACTAAAGTTAGTAGGATTCCTAAGTGGTTAGCTTCTTCTTTCAATTGGTTACACATTGAACTATGACATTCTAGACTTTTAGTATTCATTTAATAAACTATAGTTCGTAGGATTCCTAAATCCTAACTATTGGGTTTTGTAGCTCTGCAAGTTACATAATTCAACATTATTCACATATGTATTAACAGGTTGGGAGGGGTCAGCTCATGATTCACGCATTTTCTTAGACGCAATCAACAATCCAACTCTAAAATTTCCGAAGCCACCAAGAGGTAATTCCATACTTTTGTTTTGCTTTTCAACGAAGTCATTCACATTATGTGCAATCTTCATACCTTAATTTTTATAATTGTAGGAAAGTATTATTTGGTGGATAAATGTTATCCTGAAAGAGATGGATATTTAACTCCCTACCCCAAGACGAGGTACCATCAGTCAGAGTTCCGTGGTGCAAATCCGAGAGGAGTTCAAGAGATTTTTAATAGAGCACATTCCTCTTTAAGAAGTTGTATCGAGAGAGCTTTTGGTGTTCTTAAAGCTAGATGGAAGATATTGCAAAAAATGCCAAGATATTCACTAATGGATCAAAACAAGATAATTTGTTCATGTTTTGCATTGCACAACTACATCAGGAGAAGCACAATAGTAGATCCAGGCTTTAAATTTATTGATGAGGATCCTGAATTCATACCTCCAGATGTATTTGAAGATGTTGAAGGGGGTGCTACACAAGATAATGCAAATATTCGAAGTCAAGAAATGAGAGTTATCCGTAATAATATAACTTCTAGCTTGATGGAAGCTAGACGCATTCATAAATAATTCTTACCATCATTACTTTATTTTAAGATAAACTAAGTATGTAAAATGTTTGAGACGTGGTTTTACTTTTTATTAGTATTAATGAACTATTTGATCTGAGACGCGTGATTATGCTTTTTCGTAATTGACACTATTGATGTTTTTTTGCAATACAGAGTCATCTTACTTCATTTTAAAAGATTTATTAGTTAAGATTTATTATGCTTGTATTTAAAATTTAATTTATTCTTTTAAAATTTTAAATAAAATATTGTTTTTCTTAAATAATTTATTTTGCAAATAATTTATAGTTTTAACATTGTTACTATTAGCATTACTCAAATATTATATATACACCCATGTCCTTATACGTCATTTTACATTTAAACAGCTGTTTTATAACAGTTAGTTTTACCAAACATTTATTAACAACAAGCTAACATAACCAGCCAATCAAAACAGCCAACACAACCAGCTGTGATCAAACAGCTAACATAACCAGCTAACAGCTAAAGCTAACAGCCGATTGCCAAACAACCCCTTGGTGTCTGGCTCGGTCCCTAGTTTGGCCGAGTTGCCGATTAAATCCGATTTTATGCTAATTGGCCGGACTCGATCCAAGGCCGGGTGGCCGGATTTCGGGTGGGACTGCCGGTTCCGGTTCTCGAATCACAACTTAAAAGTGCTCTATATCCGTTACGTTTAATAATTTTACTAAAATGTTCCGAACATATGTGTGAAATCTAGCTACATTAATAGGTAATTTGCACTAGTGGTGTCTTTCTGAAATTAATTAATGGGGTAATTTTAGTTTGCAACCTATTTTATTGCCAAATCAGGTTTTGCACACCGTTTTTAAAAAATTTTGTGTTTGCACCCCAACCTCGTATGCAGGGGCGGAACTAGCAATGAGCTCGGAGGGGCTTGAGCCCCTGCAATTGTTTTTATTTTTATTATATATATATATATATATATATATATATATATATCAAATATAAAATTGTAAATTGTAAATATTCAAAAAATATGTGTCTTATACATTAATAATCACTATGTTCACAAAAAGACATTGCAGCGGAGTGGAGGAGGCATTGCAATTGTGGTCTGGGATATGAGAGATGTAGGGATCGAATTCTAGCTTAATTTTTTTATATTTTGCTTTACTAGTGTCTTTTTTAAGCTCTAAATTAATTTAAAATGGCTTTAAATAGTTGTATTCAAATTTGGGTGATGTACCATTAAGCTCTCTAGTGCATGGGTATGAATCACAATTTTGCTATGGTAGTTTTTTCATCAAATCGACTCACCATATTTAATTTCTTGCCTTTTGGTTTCATAGAAAATCTCATTTGATCTTGTACTACGTATGTAATTAAAATTGTGATTTCTCAATTTCCTTTTCAATATATTATATTCTAGAATAAAATATATATGTAGTATATTCTAGATGGTGGATGCAACATCTTTCGGAGACCTTTGCTTTCCCATTAAGTGCCCCTCCAGGGTCCCCGAGCTGGTTCCGCCATTGCTCGTATGAAAAAACAATTACGTCATTCCATTAACAATTTTGTTGGCTTTAACATATTCTTGATTGAGGGATATTTTTATCTTTTCATATGGTTCCGATGTTGACAACAAGATAATGGTTACGATTTTTACGGGAAGTAATAAAAAATTGGATGAAAAATATTTTTGGTGTGCACCAGGACGGACAACACACAAAAGTAGTACTCCAAATTAGGGATGGACTCGGTTCGGGCCTTGAACCGGCCGGGCCTCGGTTCAAGGTATGGGAGGCCCGGAACCGGCCCGGGTAAACCCGGGTCTAGTTCGGGCCGGGTCACCCGCCCGGTTCACGGGCCGGGCGGCCCGCCGGGCCGGGCCTTATAATTTTTTTTTAAAATTATATACTACGTATTATATTATTATAATAATTCTTATTAAAAACAAAATTCTAGTGCATTTATTTGAAATAGGAAGTACATTTGAGAATTGAGAAAAAAATAACAATATGAAATACATTTTCTAATAAATATCAATTAGGATTTCCGCCACCGTTGGTTGTTGTTTTGCCTTTGTCACATGACTTCATATGTTTTATTGGCATCCCGACTCCGTGTGAACGCCCCAAGCAACACTCTTTCTTGCACCACTTGCAAGTTGTCCACCACAGTCCGGTCTTCGGGTCCTTCCACTTATCAAAATTGTTTTGCATAACAGAAGAATTACTTTTCATCTTTAAAATGGTAGATGTATAAGTAGAAATGTAGGATAATAAGAGAAGATGAAGATGGAGAAGAGTTGGATAAGAGGTGTAGAAAAATGGTAGAAAATAGATGTATTTATAGATTTTTTTGAACCCCATCCCCACACCACCACCCCCGGGACCCCCTGCCCCCCACCCTAAGCCCCAACGGCTATATAGCTGTTTGGGAGCAATTTTGCATTTCAAAATGTTTTTAATTTTTTTTTTTTGAAAATTATACATATTCTAAAATAAGTTAATTAATTTAATGAATTAAGTAAAACTATTTTCACTTAGAAAAGTGATTTGATTTATAATTTACAAATGTTACAAAATAGGTGTATAAGTATTTAAACAAATTACATATTGAAGTTCTAACTTGTAAGTTTGTAACCAATTAATTAATTTACATATTAATATTACATATTTTAATTTAAAAACAGCCTTTAGATTTTACAAAAATAATTTCAAGTTGTAAGTTATAAGTTTGTAACCAATTAATTAATTTGAAAAGTGCTACATATGAAAAAATAAACGCATATTTATTTGAAATATGAAGTACAAGTTTACAAATTAATTTTGTTGAATTGATTATTGAATATTTTTTTTTTTTGAGAATTATTGAATTGATGTACACAATAATATAAAATAATTCAAGTATATTTATTTCAAATAAGAAGTACAATTGAGAATTAGGATGCATTTAAAAAATGTAATACATTTTGTAATAAAAAATCAATCGGAATCTCCGCCTTCGGTGGTTGTTTCCTCCATAAAGTGGCGGGTGGGAGCGATGGTCATTTCTTGAGTTCTTCGTTGGGCCTTCAACCAATCGTGGAAGCAAACTAGCGTCTCAAGAGAGCTCGGGCTCAACCTCGTTCTATAATCGGTTAGGACGTTGCCGGACGCACTAAATTCTTGTTCTACGGCAACTGTTGATATCAAGATTGCTAGCACTTGCTTAGCCATCTTTGATAAAACCGGGAACATTCTTTCATTTTCCTTCCACCACTTAAGAACGACAAGTCATCCCCAACTTCATAATCAACATTCAATGTTAGATACAAAGAAAGCTCGTTAACTGAGCTTTGTTCAGTAGTGGGAGTTGTTCTACTTTTTTTCATAAGAGAACCAAATGCAGATTTTAAAAGTGACTTCCCTTTAGATGAAGAAGATGTTCGCGGCATGGGAGGGGGTGCATTACCATACTGTGCATGAAATTCATTATACAATTGATGAAATAAATTACTAACCTCGTTGTATTCTTGTTTAGGATCGATGGGATTATCATCGAACTCTTGAGTTGGAAAAAAAGAAGCATAATAGTAATTTATACAACTTGTCAATGAGGCAAGTTTATAACGAGGATCAAGAACAAATGCAATACCATATATATGCGGAACATGTGAATAATATTTTAAAAACTTTTGTTTCATGAAATCACAAAAATTACTAACGTAAGCGGCATCGGAAAATTCTAAAAAAGCGCCGGCGAGATTAACAGCTTCAACAAAAAATTCGTTTGCGGTAGGTTTATAAACATGACTAAAAGTTTGAGTTGCGTTATTAAAATATACCAAAACATTAACAATTTTTTCACAAGTGTCGATGTCAGTCGGGTTTATAATATATTTACAAGTTTGTCTTAAAAAAGCAGGAAAATGATCTTTATATCTAATAAGTACTTGAATTAAGTTATAAATACTATTCCAACGAATAGACAAATCTTTAGGAAAAGCACGATAATTGACACGTCTTTCCTTCAAATATTGCCGCCATTGCATTTTTAGTGGAGTGTTAGCCCAAATCAATTTAATTCCCCCCTTCACTACCTCCAATGTATTTCCTAATGCCGCTAATCCATCTTGTACATACAAATTTAGAATATGACATGCACAACGTTGATGAAAAAACCTACCCATCAATGTACAAGCACCACACAATTCACGCAATCTAGGTATAGCAGCAGTATTATTACTAGCATTATCAAAACCTACAGCAAACACCTTATCAAGCAAATTATACTCAATTAAAATACGCTCAATGAGAATATAAATATTATCAGCAGTATGACGATCATTGAATTCACGAAAAGCAAGAACACGTTTATGCATATTCCAATCATCATCAATATAATGTGCAGTAAGACCCAAATAATATAAATGATGATAAGTATCCTCCCATATATCGCTACAAATACTAACACGTCCATTAAAGTTTGCGATAAATGTTTGTAATTTTTCTTTTTCGAAGTTATATTGCCTTATAACTTCTTTTTTAATCATTTTGCGACTATAATTTCTAAATTGAGGATTTAAAGTACCTTGAGCACAATCTCTTAAAGCAAGACTTTCGGAAAAAATATAGGGTAAATTTTCTTCAACAATTAAATGAGACATACCAGTCAAATGTTTTTATCATCATAGGAGAAATTACCAAAGGGTTGAGAATTTGCAAACCTCGATATTTGCGTTTGCTTCCCCTTGCCCTTGTCTATTTTCGCATACTCCACAAAATGGGCGGACTTAAGATGCCTTGTGAGACTCCCGTATACGCCAGAAGTTCCCAAGCTATACTCTTTGTTGCAATGATTGCAACTTGCGTACCATTTTTCGGTATTTTTGTCTTTCCTTTTTGTAAAATTGTTTTCAATAATAGGAGATTTAGATTTCTTACCAGTTTGGGTTGAACC